CTCCATCATCAGGAGTTCATGTGAATAGCAGTTAGTGCTTAGAATCAGCACCTTGGGCAAGACTGCGCTGTCCTCAAGGGTGTCCTGTATGTGTTCTTATCCTACTGGTTGGTGGGAGCCTCTCTACAGCTATAGCTGCTGGTCTCCAAGCCTGACAGATGTACTGTCTTTCCTTTATATTACACAGAAATGTGACGGCAGAAAAAGACCGAGAGGTCCATCGAGTCTGCCTGTTTGTGTGTGTGTTTTTGTGGGGGTTTTTTTCTTTTTTTTTGTGGGGGGGTTGTTTTTTTTGGGGGTTTTTTTAGTATAGATCTATGCTTGTTCCAAGCATGTCTGAAGCTGTTTACAGTTGGCTGTGTTCTTGATTTTGATTTCGTGTTGAAAATACTGCCCTCCTGAATCTTATCAATATCTTTTTGAAAGTGAGGTCTCCAGAATTGGACACAGTATTCTAAATGAGGCCTAATTAAAGAGCTATATAGAGGAACTAGGACCTCCTTCCTCCTGCTGGTGACCCCTTTAGTGATGCATCCTAGCATTCTATTTGCTTTCCTCACTGCCTGGCCACACGGTTTGCTCATTTTGCAATCATCTGAAATAAGTACCCTCAAGTCCTTTTCTTCTGAAGTGCTGTCCAACACTGTACCCACAATGTTGTACTCTCCGATTGGATCCCGATGGCCTGGGCCCTGTACAGGAGGACTTGGTTAACCCCTTATCAGCAGCCCTGGCTGTACTACTTTTGCTTGTGATTCTGAACTTGCGGCTGATATTTATTACTGAAGTAAGTTCTGTTTGACCTACCCTTGGATTTTTCTTGCCTGTCTATGTTTGCTGATTATCTTCATTACCTGGACTCCTGACCAAGATCCTGCTTGTCATTTCTGTACCTTACTGCCCGCACGATGGTAACCTCTACTGTTCTTGACTTTGATTTTGCTTACAATTTTCTTTGATTTACTGACCCTGATCTGTAACCTAACTTGCTTGCATTTGGGATCTTGAATCCTTTTCAAAATTACTTAAAACCTGATGCACTAACATACTAATATACGTGTAAAAAACATGATTTGTTTTCCTGTTGCTGAAAACCAAAGATGTGGCCTACAGCCGACCATAGAAGTGAAAGGCTGTATGCCTTTGTAGTTGTGTAAAGATTTACTCTAATAAGTGCGTACAACCTAATTTACCAAACATGACATTTCATGTTAGGTAAGATACATTGTACCCACATGCACTGGTAAACACTGATGCAGAGAAGTATTATCACAAGTACAGGAGCCTACAGCTATTCAGCTCAATGGCTGGCTGTAAGCCTCACCTGTGGCTCCTGTCCACATGAAAATTATGAATTTGTTTACTCTAAGCATATTTAATGAATGAGTATGTCCAGGTGTATCTGGTCTAATCATAAAAGTGCACACATTGGTTGACTGTGTAGAGTCCACAGTATCCCCACACATACACACACACTTGTACCTACTACTAATACAAATTCTATCCTGATTTGGACAAATGTATCTAATCCTTTCACAATGTGTGTTTGATATCTCTTTAGTTGTGTTCAACTCTCATCGATTCTCTGGATCAGCACTCTGTGCACCATGTCTGATACACTTGCGGGCCTTTTCCATAAAACTTTTTTGATTAATTTTTACAAGCTAGAGAGCCAGGTCTTTCTCCAGCCCTAACCTATTTTTACAGCCAATTTAGACAGGAGCCAATAAACCTACCAGCACGATTTTGGAATTTTGGAGTTCTACCACACAAAAGCGGAGGGAGATCATGCAAACTCCATGCAGATGCTGCAAAGCATATGTGGTAACCAATAAGCTACTGTGCTGCCCAGACTTCCACAATGCCCATGAGCAATTTCTGCAGGCTCAGTCTAATGACTAATTTGCTGCACTGGGCCCATTGAAGCAATCAATGAAATCTGTGCAAGCCTTCACATAAGTTCCAAATACCCACATTCTTTAAAATTAAATTTAGCCAGCTGCAGGGGCAGACTGACCATTGGGGAACTTGGGCACTGCCCGAGGGCTCGGGGTCAGTAGGGGGCCCCATGAGATGTTCCTGGTACCTTTCATAGGCTTTTTTGGGTGTGGGCGAGGATACAGGGGCCCCATGATCCCCTACTGCCTGGGGCCCCCATGAGTTGTCAGTCCGCCCCTGGCCAGCTGTTTAAAGTTTTCTGAAATGCAGATTAAATAGGCCATCAAACAGACTCACATAACAGCTACCTATATGCTACGATTGCTTGTGTATGTTGTCTAAAGACACAAGGAAGCAGAATATATATTTACATTCAGTTAACTCTAATTATGCAGATCATTTGTCACCGTGGAAGAAAAAAAAACTTCCTGTGCAAAATACTATCATGGCCTTCTCGATCGATAACACTTTGAAAAATAGCTTGCCTAGACTCTTTCAGGTCCATCCATTTGACTATTAGATTTTCTGCCTGCTCACTGCTAAATGAAATCAGATTAATTTGCAAATTTAGGGCTGTGCTCATCCTGCTCTTGCAACTGCAACCACAGTGAAACATTATATTCTTTCTTTTATCGTTAAATTTTTTTATAAAATATAGTAGTCATGTGTAGCCCTCTTTTGGGAAGGGGGGGTTATGAGAAATGGCCCTCCCTAATCATGATAGTGCACCAAACCTGTAGGTAAACACCAGAACCTTCATTAAGTGGAAGAGTGGGTTTGATAATAAAATTGGCAGCGCCTCCACCCAGGACAGGGCCCCTATGGACAAAGAGGATTCCTTCCTGGGAAATTATTCGGTTATCTAATCAAAGTAATTGGAAGCACAGGATCACTGCAACCAATATGTAACATTAACCATTACTACAGTATATAAATGAACACCAGTATGGAAATAATACAAGCTTTTTAAAGGAAAGGATTATTAGTAGTACAAACATCCAGTGTGCAAACTGGCATTATCAGCAAAGGGTGCAACAAGAGCCCTGGTGCAATTGTGCACATATACAGAGGTATATATAGTTATTAATATATATACCTCCAGATGAATGTTGCAAAATAGTCTAGTTGCATGGGCCCCTGAGGATGATTGTGATGTGGTGTCCGTCTTTGTGTAGACCTGTGTAGACCTGAAGACAAGTTCTGCAATGATGGGGGTATCCTCCAACTGTTGTCCAACCAGTCTGAAATGCAGCTTCTCACTATGCTGAGCCACTGGAGCTCAGAACTAGCCTACATATCCTGCACTTTAGTCCCTCTCTAGTAGTTTCAAACCAGAACTTTAACTATCAGAAGTGGCTGTCAAATGGCACAGCCTGTCAAATACCTGGCTGCGGCCTATGCTGGTTATCAAGCCCAGACCAGAAAGGACATAATTAACTAAAATAACAATAAGTGAATATAAAATCCATTGCTATAAACAGGTTAATTTACTAATATTCTGGAGGTTGACCACCACACACACGTACAGTAGCACAGGCTTCTCCAGAATCCACCATACACTCTGCATCCTCCAGGATTCCCCATACACCCTGTATCCTTCAGAATCCTCCCACCATACACTCTGCATCCTCCATAATCCCCCCATGTGCAATCCATATGTATCAAGTTGTAAAGGGATGAGATGCTATCCCTGCTAAATACTCTCTACCCCTTTGAGACAATACTATATACTATGTAGTGGTGCTTCTGCTTTGGGAAGCCCCTAGTGTAACATTGTAAAGTGTATTTTGTTGTTTTATCATTGCTCTTATTGTTTATTTTAATTTGTTGGGTTGTAATTTTTGCTATGTATTGCAAGGACTTTGGGTCTCGGCAAAGGATCCTAAAGGGATAATTGGGCCTTTGGGCTATCACGTATCAGCCATATTATGTCATACAGATTATTTTTTATTGCTGGGGTTTGTACAGCTTTTCCATGGCTGTCATGCTGATGCAGTGGATTCAATATTTCCTGAGTCACTAATATGGAACAACAGCAAGTGCAGTTACAGAACTGCATCTGCATATTTGTTCTCGGTCAGTGACAACCATTTTCAGTTGGAGCTTAGCAAAAACACCATCCTATTTTTTGACTTTCAGTGTTCATTTATACTGTATGTGTAAAGTGTTTTTTTTTTCGAGATAAATTGCATATAAATATTATGTAATGTCTTACCAAGTCTTTTGTCTAATTGTACACAAGCTCAAAATCTATTATTCAGTATGTTTGCCAGCAGGGCTTGAGCTTAATGAGCTTGGTAAATGTGAAGAAATTTACCTTTTCAAAGAATACCAAGTACAAAAAAATTTAAAAACATTTTTTTCTTGCACAAGATTGGACCATAGAAGTCAACAGAGCTTAACTTCTTTCACTACAAATTATCTTGTGTAGTACTTACCCCTGAAGGAAAGAAATAGAGTGGAGAGGTGCCTGTAAGTGTAGACAGCTTAAGAAACTGTTATTCCATAAAAAAGAGGGGGTACAATAGCAACTCACATTATAAAGAACAAAAACAGGCTCTAAGAATGTCACTGGTGCAGCGATTGTAATATCTAACACTGGCTAGTTACAACAAGAAGTCATACTCATTTGCGCCTTTCTCTTTTTTTTTTACTCCTGAAGGAGCCTCTGTAGTAATGTCCAGGTCTTTCCTAATTTCAACCCACAACCAGGCACAAGATAGTTTCCCAGCCAGACGCACACACACTTTTGCTCACACCCTCCAATATTCAGTCTAGGGGTTGTTGTTTTATTAATAGAGAATTTGGATAGGAAAGGGAAATTTAGTAGGATACTCCAGATTTAGAACAAGTTACAGCTGAGGACAGAACTTCCTTAACCACCTCCTGCCCGCCATATAGTCCAATGACGGGCACAAGGTGGTTCTCTCGTTCTGGGAGGACATGGTATGACGTCCTCCCATTTTCACTGCACATGCACAGCTCAGGGAGCGCGCAGCGCGGCGATCGGCAGTGCGCTGTGTCCCTCGGACACAGCGGATCACCGATCCTTGGAAAGAGTAGATGATGTCGGCTCGGTCATGTGATCAGCTGTGTCCAATTACAGCTGATCACATGTAAACAGGGAAATGCCGGTTATCGGCATTTCTCTCCTCACGAGCTGTCACGCTGACAGAGGAGAGGAGAGCCGGTAATCGACATTCCTCAGAGGGGACATGTACACTGATCATCAGAGCACTGATGATCAGTGTGCCCTGATGATCTGTGTAGCCCCAGCAGCGCCACCTGTCAGTGTCCATCAGTGCCAGCTCTCAGTGCTTATCCATGCCGCCTGCCAGTGCCCATCAATGCCACATTTCAGTGCCCATCAATGCCAGATATCAGTGCCCATCTGAGCTGCCTTTCAGTGTCACCCATCAGTGCCAGTCAGTGCCACCTATCAATGCCAATCAGTGCCACCTATCAGTGCTGACAATCAGTGCCACCTATCAGTGCCAGTCAGTGCCGCCTATCAGTGCCAGTTAGCGCCGCCTATCAGTGCTCATCAGTGCCGCCTATATGTGCCTGTCAGTGCCGCCTATCAGTGCCAGTCAGTGCCACCTAACAGTGCCAGTCAGTGCCGCCTAACAATGCCAGTCAGTGCCGCCTAACAGTGCCATATATCAGTGCCATATATCAGTGCTGCATTTCAGTGCCCATCATTGATGCCTGTCAATGCCCATCAGTGCCACCTACCAGTGCCTCCTCATCAGTGCCCATCAGTGCCACCTATCAGTGTCCATCACTGCAGCCTCATTAGCGCACATCAGTGAAGGAGAAAAATCACATATTTACAAAATTTTATAACAAAAACTAAGAAAAAACTTTTTTTTTTTTTTCAAACTTTTCAGTGGTTTTTGGTTTGTTTAAGAAAAAATAAAAAACCCAGAGTTGATTAAATACCACCAAAATAAAGCTCTATCTGTCCACAAAAATGATAAAAATGTCATATGAGTACAGTGTTGCATGACCGCGCAATTGTCATTCAAAGTGTGACAGTGCTGAAAGCTGGAAATTGGCCTGGGCAGGAAGGGGGTATAAGTGCCCTGTAGGCTTGTGGTTAATTAGCAGCCTTGAGCAATGTCCCAATGTTAGGCAGGGAGTAAACGGACAGTGCTCTTCAGGACACCAGCTGGCATCTCCTTGTTTCAAACCACAAAGTACCAAAGAGGTAGCAAAGCACACAGAGTCCCCAAGTGTCACAGTGTCTGAACTCACAAGGCCCAAGGACAGAATAATAACCTCCTTCCAGTCTTCCACACGATGCTCTCCAGTAATACCAGACAGATCTTTGGCAGACAGCTCCACTCAGTCTGCTTTCTGAAGTACCAGGGTCACTCCATCTCTTACTTCTGGGCCCTGGGTCACCCACTTGAGATCGCAGCAGGTACCTGGGGAGGCAGCAAGCCTCCCCCCAGAATGGTGCAATCCTTTCCAGGAAAAACCCAGGGCCCAGTATACCCAAAGAATAAATATGTTCTCCCAGCATTCCTCGTGGCTGCATTACATGGGATAAGCTGGAGTGGCATTAATATTCATACTGTGTTCTTCATGAGTTCCATCTATACATCCAGAACCTTCCTAGGTTACTTGGATACAGAGGAAGCCAGGGGCAGAACTAGCAGCACTTGAACACATAGAGCAAGCACTACTAACAAATGAAGCTCTCTGTTAAGCAGAAAACCTATGTAGATTTTCCTAGCAGCTCTCCTGTTATGCAGAGGAACCAGCTATAATCTACCTAGCACTTATGTAAGGGGGTGCAAAGTGAACTATATCTCACCATAAACAGTTTTCTTAACCACTTCCCGCCCAAAGGACATACTCGTACATCTTTGGATAGGAAAGGTGATATCTTGATTATCAATGCTGCTACAGCAATGATCAAGGTACTGTATAATTTTTTAGATCATGAGATACCCTACAAAGTAAAAGTAATTTGAACAACTATAGAGTCGTTAGATTACTTTTACAGGCAGCAGAAGGGGATTCGCCCCGCCACCACCTTTACCGAGCCCTCATGTCCAATCAGAGAGCTCGGTAAGGATGCAACCAGTCAGATTCAATGTTATACTCATGTTGTTCCTTTTCCTATGTGAAGTCAGAAACTGACAGCAATGAGGATTTCATCATTTCAGCATTTGATTTGAAGTAAACAAGCCTGTTACCAGGTTGTGAAAGCAGTGGATCAAACTGATCTTGGTTTGATCAGATGCTTTGGAAGTCAGAGGAGAGATCTGAGGACTAATAGACCCCAGATCTCTCAGTAAAGAGGACCTGTCATGGCCCATGCTATCACAAGGGATTTTGTTCACTAAATGTGATCTAATAAAATAAATAAAGGTACAGTGTAGAGGGAAAAAAATTAAACAAAAAAAAAAAAATATGTAAGCACCCCCGTTCTATAATGTTCACATTCAGATGCAAACACTCACCTAGATCCCGCACGCATATGTACACGATTAATACACCACACATGTGATGTATTGCTGTGAACAGATCAAGAGCAATAATTCTAGCACAAGACCTACTTTGTAGCTCTAAACTAGTAACCTGTAAAGGCTTTTAAAGTGTTGCCTATAGAGATTATTAGGTACAATAGTTATGCGCAATTCCACTGGCGTACACAATTTTAAAGCATAACATGTTAGGTATCTATTTATTCAGCATATCATAATATTTTCTGTTTCACCAAAAAAGGGTATTATATTGTGTTTGTGTGCACTAAAACTCATTAAAGTGTATTTTTTTCTGAAAACCTGCATTTAACAAACCACTGCGCAGGTTTCGTAAAAAATTTTAATAACATCCATTTTATTCTCCAGATTCTCTGCTCAAAAATATATGTAATGTTTGGGGGCTCTAAGTGAATGTCTAGTAAGCAAATGCTGATTTTTATGTAGGAAATGTCAGAATTGTGAATCTGTTGCATTTTTTACTTGGAGAGCCTGTCAGTAACAGCACCTCCTGTTGTAAGTTGAAAATTCTAAGCCACTGTTTTGCATTTAGCAGCAGTGTTGTCAGCCTGCTGTGCGCCCTTCTTCAGTTGGCTGCATATCAGGTCTTCCAGATAGGCAGCCTGTAAGCGGGGGTAGGTAGGTGGTAGTTCCTCCATGTTTCCCTTCTCATTGGGCACCAAGTGCGTGTCACATAAGAGGACTACCCCTGGGGTGGGTTCTTCAGGGCTACACTAGGCACCTAGGATGGGTCACATGACTTACACATGGGGTACATATACATGTGCACTCCTCACCAATACCCCAGAACAAGGCGTAGGCCGCTTTCAGAGATAACTCAACCTTGAGGCAGATTTCCAACTTAGAGATGGCTGCATATCATGTACACTGAACAACAAACTGGACTCCAGTTAACTCTCTCTGTCCCAGTAACAATGCACACCTTCACCATAACTTGTTGCAATTCAGCAGGACATGCTGAGCTGATGCCCATTCCACATGTCCAGTGTATCTCTGCTACCTCACTCTCAGCAATGGAATGGAGTCCTGCCGGGCACCTGGGGTGGACTTTATGCATGTACTTCAGTAACTCTTCTGTACCTATGACCAGGCCAGGAACCTCTGCGGTGTTGATCTGCTCCCATTGCTGTGAGAGAAGGACTGTTAGGAGAGAGTGCCAACAACATCTCCCTCATTGCTAGAGGACACCCCACTTGTCACAGGTGCACTCTTCACAACAGGCAGCTTGTACTGGCTGTAGACTTTCTGTACCAAGTTAACGGTTGTACTGCTGTCTTTGTACCCCAATGTGCTCCATTGACCCAAGATGTAAATGTCTATGTATAATGTGCTGGTTACTTTCATACACTTCTTTTCAATAACTTCAGACCAGGCATGGCAATGCTTTACTGAAGAATTGCAGCATAACAGTTCCAGGAAATGCAACAAGTCTTTTCCCTATCTACCCTAACTATAGCTGCAGCTGCCCCAGCATACCTGCACAGGCGAGAGTCCATACATGTCCAAAGTGCTGTCTTCAGGGGGGACTGTAAGTCCCAGTAATTCCCCTACATGTGGAAGGCTTCAGGATGTAGGTCTCTGGCAGAACGGAACAGGCCAAAGCAGGTAACAGCCAATGGGAACTCCAGCTCTCTACAGTATGCTCTGACCTGGACCCATGTCCTTTTTATATCAACACAGGACCAGAGGGTCGGGCCCAGAAAGCCAGCGAAGACAACCCCAGGAACAGTGGCATAAGAAATTAACCCAATCCCTCCTGGCCAGGGTAGCAACGCATTAACTACCAATAAGTAACCTGCCTACAAGCCCAATGGCCTACTGAAGAAGCTTGCATTGCAGGCTGACAACGCTGCAGCTCCCAATAGCAAGGCAATGGCTTAGGCCTCAGCCTCCAAGAGCAAGGCAGTGGCTTAGGCTTTGTTCACACAGGGTTATCCATGCCCCATTCACTGTGAGCATTGACAGACAGCTGTGCACATTTACTGAGAGTCGAATGGTTCCTGCTGAACCAGCTGATTTTCAGCCCATGTGTACTGGACCTAAGTGTTGTCAGCCTACAAAAGGAAGTTCTGTTATTGACAGGATCTCTGGATAAGAAACTTTGCAACAGAATCACAAAAAAATTGTGAGGTATGATGTCAAACACACTGAACTTAAATGTAAGGTTTAAATAAACTTTACTAACTCAAGATAACAGTACACGTAAATAAGTCATAGGATTGACTAATCTCTTATCACATAGCTCTGCCTGAGGTTTAACCAAACAGCAGCCTCAAGGCAGCTAGCTACCGTTTGGTGTTTTCTTTAGATAACGTATAGTGTTTTTGGAATCCTTTGTCTTGTATCAAATATTTGTAAAGCAAAGACTGCATATAAATAATATGAATCAGATAAGAAATGTACATTTAATATAAGTTTTAAAAAGATCAAATAAAATTGACTCAGAACTATTATCTCTTTAAGTTGTCTATTCTGGGACAGATTGATCATTTCTACAGTTCCTTTTATCCTGTTTTTCTTAGTGTAGCTGTGAGCATGCCGTTTACCCTACACTATTGTCAGAAGTGTGTTGTTTGCAGTTGAATACATTATTTTGAATAGAGATCATTAACATAACATACAAAGTGCAGGGGTCAGGAGTATGCAATGTACAGCACAACATACAAAGTGCACCAGTCAACAATATGTAATATACTGTCCCTTACATTAGTGGTTAATAGAAGGAAAAATGATCTCCCAAATTGGTGGCCAGTTGAAGAAAACAAAGCCCCCTTGGGGGTCCTTGAGATGAAGAATTCCCCAGCATTGGGAGTCAACAGGAGGAAGAATGTCTCAGCCATGGGCATTAGAGAAAGAATGCCCCATCCTTGGTGGTTAGTTGGTAGAACAATGCCATGGGGATTAG